TAGATTTGATCATGGAGACAGCCCTATCCTCGTTCGAGGATAGCGGCATCGATTTACTTCCAAATTATAGACTGTCTGATCTTGAATATGGAAACGAAATTGTGGTGTTGAGTGAAGATCCAGATAAGTTACAAACTTTTCTGGATAGCTTGATTTCTAGTTCATTCATGTTTTTGTATGCGTTTTGCACCTTCAAAATTTAAAATGCTACTACAAGATTCGGTTGGTTCAGCCGTCAACCTCACTTTGACTGAGGAATTCCTAGATGGAGGTTTTCCTTTGTCCATTCCGTATCACTTTTCTGTTCGTGCGATTGAGGCCCCGAACTTCCCCGGTCAAAGATCGACGACGCCAGTTTCCATCATCTTAGCGATCGAAGTTGATCCGCGTTTGTTGCACACCACATCCGTCCTCCGCACCCTCCGTCTTTTTACCTCATTTCACTAGTGGTCCGCACAACCCAACTAACTGACCCACAAATAGTCTTTCGTAGTCTAAGCTCTGTGATGACCAAATCGGAATATAACGGCTCGAAAATGAATGCTCAAGAATACACGTCTCATTCTACGTGCTCTACGCTGAAATTTCTAATTTCTGTGTCTCTTATCCTCTTCGGATGATGATGATGATGATCACCCAGCGATGCAGATGCTTATAAACCGCGAGGTGGAGACATCATCAATCATGATAATTCAACCGCAAGTTTCAACAGGAATACCTCCCGTCATCGCTTGTCAAGAGGTCAGTGTGGTGTACTGTGAGACCGTAAGCTCATGTGTGTGCATGTGCGTTCCAGTTCAGCACAGTTTTATGGACTACTGATTAACATTCAATAACCTCACAAATCCCGGTGAATAGATAATATATATGTATTATTAGTTTTGCCGATTCCCGGATTGGAGTGCTCCAATTTGTAATACACAGATGATGCAGCGTGAGCGAGCACACATACATACATAATACCCACTTGAAGTTGGATCAGTACCTGAAGGTGCTTCTGTGGTGATATCACACGGAGATGGAATACAGCCTGAAAGTCTGGGACACACTGAATGTGAATCTGATCAACACTGGTGCGTACGTATATCGATCGATGTGTCCCAGTACAGCCGCTTGAGGTGTGGCGTATGCATTCCGTTGCTCGCGCATTATTCACTGGTATCAGCGGACGGGGACGAACATACACAGTGAGATAGAGAGAGACGCGTACGCGCACTGACAAGATAAACGACCAATATGTATGTCATGGGAACTGGGGTGTGTGCGTGACCGAGACAGGTCTCACAATCGNTTCCCCCCCCCCCGTGCTACAACGGGAGGTAGACTAATCTGTGCTGGATGGTGATCATCCAGACATCTCTGGGAGGCTTGCCAGCACCGATGAGGTCGATGAGAAAGGGTTGAAATGTTACTCAGACAACTTGAAACGATGCAGTGTAAGTCTCCAGCTGTAGACCGGCATTATTATTTACACGTTTATTCTTTTTTTCTTTTTACTGGCACTACGGGCGGTGGTGGCCCGGTGGTAACACCATCAATTATCACCTCGGAGGACGTATGTTGGAATCGCACCATCACCGCCTGTCTTTCCCCATTGTGCGTGTTGTATGGCAGCCCCGTTTGATTGGCCACTTCCACCTTCCTGAAAATTTTATCTTTATATATTCAATAGAAGCAAGTAAAATGAAAATGAATGAACGAACGAACGAATGAAACTGTATAGAACCTAGATTGGCACGCATCTTGTCCCCCATGGTCCCGAATCTGTTATGCGAGTCATACATCTGACACAATCTGAACGTCATCCGATACATAGCAGTTTCAATCAACCTCACTGGTTGTTGACGAATTATACGCTCTCACTCTACCCTCATTCTCTCTCTCTATCTCTCTTGGTATTTATGATTTCAGTCTTCCTGTGTGTGTCACTAACCAAAGACTGGAATGCACGTATAGTTTTACGATTGTGACTGTTGAATTCGCCACAGATGATGCTTCGTTTGATATCCCCGTCCCCGGGAGCACATCTCCTGACCTGATCGATCTGTCTAATTCACCGCGTCACAGCCCCGTTGCCCGCGTTCGTGATCCCAATTCACCTCGCATCGAGTGACGAGTAGCGAACAAACCACAGGGCTAAATGACAAAATCCCAACCGATTCCGATATCCATTGCGTTGTAAATCGGTCTGTTTTGATCATTTGGCCCGTCGTCCCCCCCCCCACGGAAGCGTGATAATCCGTTCCTCTGGATTCAATCTTTCTTGAAACAATCAATTACTCCATTGGTTCACTGTAGTAATTCTCGCTTTCTCGAGGTTTATAAAAAAAATTAATATCTTTTTCGAAACGTCAGTTCAAATACACGATTTGGGAGAATAGTTGGCTTGAAGATCCTCGTATGTACGTAGTGGTAACGGAGTAACGTAACCAAAATTATCACTCCGGGGACGTAAGTTCGAATCTTACCACCACCGCCGGACTTTCCCCATTCTCTGTGTAGAATGGTGTAGCTCTTTGATTGGCCGCTTTCCCCTTCCAGAAAATTGTGTCGTTGTGAAGTAAAATGAAAAGAAAAGGAAAAGCTGTTGGAAAACTCTGTCACACTGTGACTTCCGTGTATCAGTATAAAGCATTCGCAATGTGATATATAAATATGTATATATTTCATAATAAGTAGTATGTGAATGACTGAACAAAATTTCCCTGGAAGCACACGACCGGTTTCGCGGTTATAGCCGCTCGTCAGGCATTGGTATCCAGTATTCCTTTGCCAGTTTATTCATGTACTTATACCCAGGAAGTGTATTTTGGTCACAATAACCTAGTTGGCAAAACCGAGTGAGTTTTGGATAAACAGCTCTTTCGGAGTCAGTCCATGGAAGAATCAATACTGTTATGCAATGATACCTTCTTCATACCTCTACGCCATATCATGGTCTGATCGCCACGGCACTTATTCCAGCCTTGCTCGGCACGTGCAAAGGGAGCACGGGGAGAAAGACGATATATGATTCAGTAAACCGGTAAAAAATATGTGAATTTACATAAAATGGTTCGTGGAGTATGAACGAGAAATATCAGCATTATCCAGAACACCGGTCCGGTAATTGCTGAGGTGCTTAAGTTTGCACTGCTATTGATCGAAACAGTGGAATACACTGAAACTCATTGGCCCGAATGGTACCAATCATCAGTTGTGTGTATGTGTGTGTGATAACCCTGGCGCCACGTTTGTGAACCGAAATTGATCGATCAACCGTGTAGATGAGAAAGTTGTCCTTTTTTGACAATATTGTCATTAGTTTCGTGGTGGATCCAGCTTTCCCGAGCTATTATGACACCACCTTCGGAATATTCACGTCTTTTTGTGATATCTTTTATTTCCACATCGCTTTACCAAGCAGGGATAGTTCGTTCCCATCGAGGATTGCTGGTTTGTGGATGTGTAAAACGAATCGTTTGCGATCTCGATCCTTTTTCTGGGAAACCTCTCATAGATTGTAGGTGAAATCTAACGACCGGAAGTTTTCAAGATGTTTCTTGAAGGCAACAAAGTATTGCACGAAATCAGGCATGATCAGAACGTTTCTATGGCAACGAAGGAGGTTTACCGTAGATTCAGTCCGGTGAAGAGTGTGTGATTGTGTGGCCTAGATTTCGATGATGTTAAGGGCCGCGCAGCCGAATTCAAGGCCCGCTCCGTCGGGATGTGTCGTAGGGAACGAGTGCCTCGTATGTATGAGGTCGGGAAATGAAGCACAATGCAACCATTACGTAACCAAAAATCTGGTCATGGATCAATTGAAAACCAAAGGAGAGAAAGGATGATCAATCGAACTATACGTGTATACGGATTTTTGTTCGACAAATCGCTTAGCCATTTCATCTCACACCCAGGCGTGTTATCGTTCAAGAAAGGATGCATGATTTGTCTACACCCTGTGGTTGTCATGGTTTTAATTCGCGCAGTCCTTGTCGTCCATGTTGGTTCACATCATCGCCTGATGAATGCTCTCACCGCGGATCAGAAACGTTCAAAATTGCCATGCCCACGTATGTTTCGCCGATTTCCGAGTGAGTGTACGTATAATCTGACAAATGCGTACTTGGGCACGTCCGACTGAAAAAAAGTCATCAGTTTATTTACAACTTCACTTATCCAAAAACACCGTGATTTCAGTGAACCTTTGAAGGAATGTGTTGCTCTTCTCTAACGTTCTATTTCCATTTTCAGGCATAGACTAATGTACAACTGTCCGATAGTGTTTAAATCCTTGCTCAGTCTTTCTGTCTGGTTATACACATTTGAGTTGTTGCTGTTGTTGTGGTGGTTTGGTAAACTCCCATACTAGCCCTCATTGTAATAGTCTTCCATAGGGTCACGAATAATGCAATCAGACAGTAAAAGTCCGCATCGAACTCTCCTCCCCCATTCACACTTACGAACAGCGTGGTTTGTTTCAATATTTCCGATCCGTTCATTCTATGCGTCCTCTTCTTTTCAACGTAGACCACAGGATCCACTCGATTTCAGTATTGGATNCAGTATGTCCCTCACTATGCTTTACCACTATTATCTTTCCGATTTCCTCCTCTTCATTGGGGTACATCCTCTCTGTGTCCTACGCTCACTTTCACACTGCAAAATTTCAAAATGTGGCTTGAAGATTATCTAATCGCCACCGCCAGAGACGATTTCCACAGGTAAACTAATCACTGGTACGTGCCCAAATACGCATTTGACAGATTGTACGTTCATTCACCCGGAAATCCGCGGAACGTACGTGGCATGCGTGGTGATGGCGCAGTGGTTTAGTCACTGTCACTGATGTGCTTAGGACTCTATGG